GACGACAGAGGATGAGAAGTTTGGATGGTATTACCTACTCAATGGAGATGAGTTTGAGTAAACTCCGGGAATTGGTGATGGACAGGGAGGCCTGGTGTGCTGTGGTCCATGGGGTCGTGAAGAGTCGGACACGACTGAGTGACTGACCTGAACTGAATTAAGAAACCACAGAACATTTATTGTTGCTGTCATTGTTTAGTCGCCCAGTCGTGTCAGACCCTCTTGCAATCCTATGGATTGGGATTCTCCAGGCAAGAATACTGGAGTGAATTGCCATTTGCTTTCTCCAGGGGATCTTCTTGACCCAGGGATTGAACCCACGTCTCCTGCCTGCATCTCCAGCCTTGCTGGCAGATTTTTTACCACTGAGCCACCAGGGAAGTCCCTCAGTACATTTACCAAAACTAAGAAATTAACATCAATATAATTTAATTAACTGCACTGTACTCTTCGTTCAAATTTTAGTAGTTTTTCAACTATATGTTCTTCTCTGCTTCAGGATCCCACATTGCATGTAGTTGTCAGGTCGCCTTAGTTCCTCAGTCTTTCCTTGTTACCCCCCTCCCACCTCCCCCCACCCACACATTCGTGCCCTGCATGATCTTAGTTCCCTGACCAGGGATTGAACCCCAGGTAGTGAGCAGAGTCTTAACCACTGGGCCACCAGGGAAGTCCCTCCTTGTCTTTCATAACCTTGACATTTTTAAAGAATCCTGATCAGCTGTTTTGCAAAACGTTCATCAACTTGGGTTTGCCCAAGGTGGTTAATCATTAGAGTAGTCATCCATTTTTACAAATGCTCCTGTGATGGTTATTTCATGTGTCAATCTAACTACGGCATGGGGGGTTAAGTGATGTGGTCAAACATTATTCTGGGTTTTTCTATGAGGGTGTTGTGAGCAAGATTAACATTTAAGTGATACGCTGAGTAAAGCCGAACACTCTCCCTAGTGTGGGTGGAACACTCTCCCTAGTGTGGGTGGGACACTCTCCCTAATGTGGGTGGGCCTCCTCCAGTTAATTGAAGGCCTTCATATAACAAAAGGGCTGACTCTCCCCAGAGGAAGAGAGAATTCCTACTGCCTGAGTGCCTCTGAACTAGGACAGAGGGCTTTCCTGACTTCAGACTTAAATGGAAGCATTGGCTTTTCCAGGGTCTTAAGCCAGTTCTGAATGGAACTACACCATCAGCCCTCCTGGGTCTCCAGTGTGCCAACCCCCTCTGCAGATTTTGGTATCTGTCAGCCTCCATATTTGTGTGAGCCCATATAAATGTAGTATATAAGAGAAACAGACATGGACAGATCCAGATATCTAGATCTATATCTCCTATTGGTTTATTTCTCTGGAGACCCCTAATACCCCTTCTCAGAGCATCATATCAGGAGGTCCACAATGTCCATATGTCTTATCACTGGGGATATTAACCCTGACCACGTGGTAAAGGTAGTATCTGTACGGTTTCTTCCGTGTAATGTTACTAGTTTTCCTTTTGCAGTTAATAACCTTGGGGGAGAAACTTCGAGACTGTATCACTATCCTGTTTCTCCTCAAACTTTGGCCCACTAATTTTAGCATCCATCAGTAGACATCAAACTGAAACAACTAAATACTGTGGAGTTTGCCTAATCAGGATTTTCTATTTCTCTATTACTTCTACATGTCTTTATTCAAATACTACTGCTCCCTTCATCCCCCTTTTGCTGACATATTCAATTATTTATTTATGTAAGCATGCACCTGTCGATATTTATTTTATTCTATGGCCTATAATCCAGTACTCTCATTATTCCTTGTGTTGCTCAAATTGTTCCAGATTTGGTCTTTTGAGCTTAGCAGGAAGTATTTTTTAAGAAAAAGACTGAATTTAGATTAGATTCTGCTTAGAGATGAAAAAGCCAAGTCAAAGTCTCAAGTCTGTAGCATCCCCAGGCTTCACCAAGTGGACCCAGTTCTCACTACTAGAGTTTTAGCAAAAATAGAACATTAAGGGCACTTCTGAAGGGCACTGAGGGAGAAGGCTTGGGTGACGAGGCAACTCAGGCTTCATTTTCAGTAGGTGGACCCCTCCCTGGCTTCTGTAGAGATGCACAGAAGCAGCTGACGGTACTCTCATCACCACCTCCCATCCCATCCTTCCTCAAAGAACCTCCACTGGTCTAACTCAACACTTCCCTTAAGGCTCAAATCACATGCTCCCTCCTCCACTCCAGAAAGGTTACCTGCACTGTCCAGTCCTCAAGCACTTCTCCTCTGCCAATCCCCAGAGGCACACCTGCTTAGAGCAGGGCTACTCAAAGAATAGTTTGGAACCAGCAGCATCAGCACCACAAATGCTATCTATTGAATCAAAACGACTGAGAGGGAGACTGGGAGAGAA